TTGAGAGAGAACTTCCCATAAATCACCTTCCATCAATTCCATCCTATTACTAAAACAAATCACCTTGCCAATACCATCTTTTTATCAATTCCATCTTATTACTAAAACAAATCACCTTGCCAATACATGAACTCTCCCATTTTGGAGGATCACACAAATTAAAGAATTTTAAATCTGCTAAAAGAATGTGCCCAGCCTTTGTACAAAAATTCCAAGGACCAAGAACCCCACCAATCCCATCTCTCAATCTATACAATCTCTCTCTAAAAGGAAAGGAAAAAATGTCAGAATTTTGTGATGGGATGCTACAGGCTTTCTTTGGGGCCAGGACTACCAGGCTTGAACTTAGAGAGAAGGTCAGAGAGCTCCATGTAATGTGCAGATGGGTTCCTGGTCTTGAGAAGCTCTATCAAATAGACAAACACCTCCACTTCACAATCAATCCTCAGAGCTCCGTCATACGAGTACCCGTATTCTTCGACCGACAAATCGAGCAAGTTCTCAACGAGGGGGTGGTTCAGATAATTAGCCTCCAACACAAACTTGAAGGGGACCTGTTTCCCGACACAAACGTTGATGTATCCCTTGGGGATATCGATCGGAAAGCTCTTCCTCCTACAGCACCATAACTTCTTCACAAGGTTGGCCATGGGTCTAGGAACTACAGAACTCTCTCTCTCTCAAGAACACGCACTCTCTCTCGTGGAATGATAAGAGTGGAGATTGCTATTCTCTCGTCTTGGGGGTTGATGTGGTGCGAAGATATGACTCTTATCCCTTTCTCTTTCTTGGGTTGATAAGGACAGGGAAGTTGAAAGGCATGAAGAGCTTTGGGCTGAGAGAAGGGGTTAATATAGGGGGATGAAGGCAATAGAAAAATGAAGGTGAGGAATGGGAAGTTGCAGAGATATTAAAGAATTGAGGTGTTATTTAATATGGAATGAAGTTTGGGGAAGACTTTTTGGAGTGTACGGGAAGCGTGTTGAAGGGGATGGAATGTGGGGGGTCACATGGGAAGTGGAATCCTCTCAAAGTTAGAGAGAGAAAGTAGAGAGGAGAATTGATTGCATGGCAAGGGAATACAGCTAATGAAGCGCGTATAAGTGGGCGGTGCGGGTAAGGCTATGGATTCTCTTCCTTTCTTTTTCTCTCTCTCTCTCTCTCTCTCTCTATCTCTATATCGAAGCTTGTGGTGATGGCAAGAAGAAGGGGAAGAGCCTAAAAGATGGCTATTTCGTGAACAGGCAAAAGATGTTACATGGGGAAATAATCCCCAAGGGAAAATAAAGAAAGAAGAAGAGATTTCTCTCTGTTGTCGTTGATACCTTTCCTTAGTTATTGGGATGTTAACTTAAGGAGTTTGATTAATTTTTTTTTAATTAAAATTTTGGATAATTACTTAACCTTAATATGTGGGAAATTGAAGGGAAAGGTTTTTATACTTCCCCTACCGCATAAAAGTTCTATCTTCCCCCCACCATCCAGCCATTTAATTTTGATCAAGAGAGCTACTCACCGTTTGATCTTGGATCCGATGTCTCAAAGTATTTTATTTTTTAATTTTTTTTATATAAATTATATGAATATTAAATTTGGTACATGTCATCTTCTCATTGAGGCACACCTATAAAAAAGATTAAAAATAGTTTTTCAATAAAATATAAGGACCAAAATACCCTTTGAAACTTTCAAGGTATTTTGATCATTTTATTTTATTAAAAAATATTTTATTTATATTTTTTAGCTAGTGCGAGTTTAATAGAGGAATGAACGTCTAAAATTTGGTGTCAAAATATTTTACAAAAAAAACATTAAAAATAAAATAGTGCAGAGACGTGACATTGTGATTGGGGCAATTTTAGCCCTCCATTCAGAATGGACGGTTGGATAAGGAGAATGATAGTACTTCTATGTTGTAGGAAAAGCATAGAAAGCTTGCTCTTATCTGAGTATATGTGCACATAATTTATGTATGTTTGAGCGTAGATAACCATCTCATTTTGATTGGATGGCGGGTAGCAGGTAGACAATAATATAAAAAATGAGCATGTGTTAGTTTTAGGGTAAAGTTTATATAGAGCTTAGGCTGTAAACAACCATTAGAGCCTACATCAAAATTTTCACTAGAAGAGGTCGTTTTGATGCCCAAATATCATCAAATTGATCATCTCGACATCAAGATATATGGACATCAGAAAAAATAGATTTTAAGTTTTAAAAATAATATATCTTGTAAAGCATTTTTAGACCATTAATTTTCAAGATTTTCAAGTTTTCATAGATCGGCTCGATCTATGCTATTTTTAAATATTTAAGTTTTATAATTAAAGATGAAAATATAATTTAAGGCTATCACAAAACTTTCTAGTATTAAAATTATATTTTTTAATACTATTTAAAAATGGGATCTAATTTGATTGTTTAGAGCCTCGGCTTTATACAAACCGCACGCTTATTTTTATTAGAAGGAAAAGTGTGCAATGAGACCATTTATTTTTGGTACAAAATAATCACAATTAATTTTGACCATGGGAAGTGAAATTAGATAGCTGCATTTATTCCATTGACCAAACTCAAAGTTCAAAAGATATTTTCGCGTACTTTGTGACACACTCAAACTATCAAATTTCACATCGTATGGTTATAAATAATTGTGACATATTTGTAACAAAGGTAAATGATCTCAATGTATACAATCTCTTATTAGAATGCAATTAACATGTATAATATTAATGACAATTTGTTGTCATCTATTCAATCAATGATTAGATGGTTATTGTTTTAAAAAGACATGTAAAATAAACATATACTATACAGGGACCCATGGAAATATGTATATACGTGTGTGTTTGTTCTTTTCATCATCATCATTTGAGCCTTATCCAAACTATTTGAGGTCAACTACATGAATCATATTATGTCATTCCACTCTATCAAGGCCTATATTTTTAGTCAAACTATTATATTATTTTTTTATGAAATAAAATAAGTTGGATTAGTAAATACAAATTCAAATTATACACAATTTAACAAATTAATATATTTAAAGGTTTGTAATTTATAAAGTTGACAAATTTTAATGTATAACAAAATTAAAATTTAAAAAATAATATCCACTAACGTCCTTTAACTTACATATCCATCATCAATTTATAGCAAATTGCTTCCATATGTCTAATTGATATTTTAGAATAATTTGTAGGCGAGTGAGACATGTTTCTTATCAAATTCAAATTGCCAATTATGCTGTCAAACTACATACAAGTTACTACCGTGAGAGTACTTAATTATGACAATAAAATATCATTAAAATCAAAACTAAAAAAAGAGGAAAAAATTCCTAATAGATTTGTATAAACCTTAGTAGCTTGAATAGTTATTTCTCTTTATTTCTTTATTTCATATGCAATAATTCATAATGTACTTGTGGGGAATAAAACTATGAGTATGTAGTACTCTCTAGTCCAAGTCCAGAGAGTAAGGAATTCAATTCATTTTTATTTTATTTCATAACAATTTAAAAAGAAAATCCCTGCTGTCATGTTGTAAGATTTTGACACGTGTCAAGGCCTACAGGGATTTCGTTGCGCGTTCTGTGGACTGCACATGCATGCAATTACTTTGGTTTTGAAAATTTTAATTTTTGTTCACACCACAAATGATGAGTGAACCATAAATAAATCCATGCAAAAATTGTTTTAAGTCGCATATCAAAATAATGAAAATTATTGCCAATGTAATTTAAACTGCAATAATAATGAGGGGAAGTCTAGATATCTTTCTCAAAATTAGGATGAGTGGGTGCAGTGTGCTCCTGTGGGAGTACACTCTGGACATGTGGTCACTTCGGTAAAGGATCTGCTCAGGAGTAGTTATCTATCTCAAATCGCATGATCCACTTGAGAATTACTAGATCAGTATTTTTTTAAAAAAAAAAATAAATTACAAGAATTACCTGATGAGCACTTTTTTAAAAAAAAACTAGATTTTTGAGTTTCTAAACGCTTAAAATCTAAAGGTCCAATTGGGTGGTCTTTATTCAATCTTCTGGTGTTATTGAAATTTGTATTTGTGTCAAACACTGACATGTATAAGATGCTAACATACGTATCCATATTGTATAATATAGCCATGCATGTATAGGAGCTCGGCTTGTAGAAGCATCCCCAAGATATAGAAAGGTTTGCTTGTTTGATATGAAATTTATGCCACTTGCCACCTCTATTTCTATGAGACATGCACGCGCGCGCACACGCATAGGGCACATAGTTCAAAACATTTTTTTTTGAATTTTGAGTTTAGTCGATCACACACTTACAACCACCAAATTTAAAATCTAATGGAGTGCTTGTGACATCCTTATACTAAAAGTAAATAGTCTCTTTGTATACTTTTAATTGTTTATGTTGGTAAAATGTGAGGCCCCTTCTTATTGTTTTGGATAGCATAGTAGCCACACCAGAGAGTTATCTTCACTTTGCTTTAAGGTAGTCATGAAAATAGAAACTCTTAAATGCCATAAATATATGGAACAATGAATAGTTTTGGTCAATGCTAGGGAAAGAGCTTCTTTTTCTTGCTATCAACAAAAAATGACAATTTCACTAATAAATATGATCCATTTTAAAAGTGGCACACATGAATAGGAACATACCAAGTTAGCAAGCCGCCCATTTAAGCACAATATTAGAGTTTTTTTTTTTACCAATGAAAATGTTGGCATCTAGATGATGCCTAACCCTACATATACGATATGATTCTATTGAGGACTTATTTTACATAGAAGTGTCTAAAAATTCAGACCTAGGCTCCAATTTGCCAAGGTATTAAGCCCAAATCAGTCACAGAATGACCCAGTCAGTTTTCTAAGAAAATAGCAATAGGGACAGACTCAAGAGAAATCACTCAATTTTCCGACGATTCCTTTTCAAATGCATAGGGTCCTGAACTCACGATGACATGGGCGATTCCAAATCAACTGAGCAATTCTATATATATATATATATATATATATATATATATATATATAGAGAGAGAGAGAGAGAGAGAGAGAGAGAGAGAAGTAAGTTAATATATGTGTGTGTG